ACCTGGAATCGGAGATACCAGTAGATCTACAACTAGAAAAACAACTTATGACGAACCCCCCAAAATAGGAGTCTCTAAAGGAGAACTTAAACCTGATATTTACGTCATTGTTGAGCTCATCTTTGATAAGAACACAAAAAAAGAAACCACCAAACAGTTCTATGGAGTCATTCTTAGAACTTGTTTTGAGAAGAACGAAGTTACAGTAAAGTTTTTCAGAAGAAGCTCCAAATCAAAAGGAAATGACTATATATTTCCAAATGTTGATGACGAAATAGACATTCAGTTAACAGACGTCATTTTAATTGTGAAACCATCCAAAGTAAACAGAGGACGTTATACTTTTCCTTATGAACTACCGGTAAAGCACTGAATTCAACAAGACCTATTTTAAATAATATTTTTGTCTCTCTTTAATGTTTTTCTTAAATAATAAAGCTTTTTTTTTGTCAATAGTGGTTCTTTATTGTTACAGATGCATGATTTATGGATTTAGTTACCCTAGCACTCTCTAACTAAAGCCAAACATTGCTTTTTAATGGATGGCTTTTGTTACCCCTTTTCCAGGGGTAACTAAAGCCACCATGTTTTCATTTTTTTTTATTAAAAAAACGTATATTTCTGCAATTTATGAATATATTTCTTTAATATATGACCACAGACCCAAGTTTTGCAATATTTATTTAACCTATAAATTAAAGGGTCTGACTTGGGCAGAAGTTTACATTTCGAAAGTGGCTTTAGTTACCCCCATCTACGGTACTCAAATAAATAATTTCCATTTAACTAATTGAAATGTCTTTTATACTTAAATTGTCTCTTAAGTTTAAAATTTTAATTTTATTTGCCATTTACTACGAATAACTTCTAACTTAAAAAAATCGTAATTCAAAAATTTTTTAACTTTATATTTAGATTATCTAATAAGGTGGTCGCTTCGTTTAGATTTAAGATCTTATTTATGTTTTTGAAGCATATTATATATTTTTTAATATGTAATTACGCAAATAAAAGCAAATTCAAAGTTGGATATTTTGATTGAACAAATTCAAAGTTTTTTTTGTTCCTTAATTTTAGAGCTTTACTCTGTTCCTCTCTTTTTAAACTTTTCAAAGTAACTTATAGCTAAAAGTTAATAAATTCTTCAGGAAATTCTTCCCAGACGAAATACGGTCCTAAAAGTTGTCTTTTAAACCTTCAAAAGACGTTTCAAACGTCTTTTAAACGTTTAAAAGACGCTTTTTTAGGACGTTTTTTAGGATGCTTTTTGCTCAGAATGAAGAGGATACAATTATTTTTCCAGTTGCCAACGAGTGAATAAATGTAGTCAGATAGCTTTAAAAGAAGTGGTCAATGAATCAGCTAATTTTTAGAAATAAAACTATGGATCTGGATAATACTGCAAGGAAAGTACGATTTATGACAAAAGATCATTTACGGCGCATAAAAAAAAAAAATTCATAATTTTTACTTAGGAAAAACAATTCAAAGTAAAGTAATTAATCCGATAGGTGATGCTGCTTTACAAAAAACTATAAATATTGTTCAAAACTTAAAACATTACTCCGTCATTTTAGAACGAACGCCTGATGCCTTCGCTAAGAGCAAATGACTATGATTTTGCAATTATGCAACATTGGGAATATTTTGTGAGGTTCCTATCTGTCAATGACAGCACTGGCTCAGGTCTTGCGTGAGCATGTTTAAAAGAGCTTAAATGTCTGCATTTTAATTTGCTGAACTGCAGAGGCTAAATTAAACAACACCCAGTAGAAATTTTTTTTCTTTAGGGAGGGGGAGGGGAAACTTCACTAACGTTTCCCACTAGAAAACAACTTTCGTTGTTAATAAGGAAATCATTATTTGCTTAAGAAAATTGAAAATAATTTTTTGCCAAAAGAACCTAACAAAGGGGTTTTGATCCACAGTATCGTAATTACGATATCAATGTTACGTTCTGATTGGCCCGTTTTTTGTTTACAAAATACTTTTATAAAACTTTTTTTTTTATGTGAAACGTTTTTGCATATGAAATTTAATTAAAAATCAACTATTTTCGGTAAGCGGGTTTATTTTATAATTTATGTAATAAAGTTATATAATATGTAAAATATACATAATATATATGCTTATATATATTATAGTATATATATTATAGTATATATGTATAATCAATCAATATATTTTCTGAAATATTTGGTATTACATTTCAAGGTTGCTTACAAATAGTATAAACTACTAATATTAAGTAAACACCTAGTAACAATGATTAAAATAGTTATAGTAATAATAATAATAAAAATATTTATAATTAAATAATGATAAATAATAATAATAATAACAATAATAATAAATAATAATAGTAATAATAACAATAATAAGAATAATAATAATAACATGTTACTTCAAAAATAGTAATATTAATAATATAGTAATTAATATAAATAATATAGCAATTTAAATAAATCGGTATAACTTTCTATACAACAATCGCTTACACATACAAAGTTACAGTTACAAACAGTAATAAACTGACAAAACGTAACAACTAACGATGACATAAAAACAACTGTTGCTAAATAAAATTATAACGATTTAGTAAATATATTAATCATAGCTCTTATAATATCATAACCAGTGGCGGATTAAGACAACGCCAAGAAACAAAAAAATAAAGAGAAAGATGAAAAAATTTTCTGTTGAACATTACTGTTGTTTTATCTATAAATTATTTTCCTATGTTGAAACATAAAAGAAATAGAAAATGCTTCCTGTTTTATATTGACATCTAAAAGAGGTTTTTTTCTCGGCATCGGAAAGAGCTATTTGTCGTACTTTGTATGAAGAGCTATTATTATTTTCATTTGATAGAAACAGATTTTCATATATGAAAAGTAGGAATACTATAGTATAATAATAAGTATGACAAAAAAGTCAGAAAAAAAACTTTTTTAGAAGTGCATAATTGATAAACTTTTAATGACAAGATTAAGATAAAAAAAGACGTCTTTTTGATGTTGAAAAAAGATGTCTTTTAAATTTGCATAATCGAATAAAAAAAGACTTCTGAATCACATCATAAATTAGACTTTTAAAGACGTCTTTTCGAAGTCTTTTTTCCCACTGGGTTACGGTTTTATCACAAAGCACCGCGTTGACGTCGTCGTCTCAATCTATTTTTTGGAGACATGGCAAAATTGTCAGTCGCTGCAATAATACTTTTTGAAATTTTGCATCAAATTTTTAGCTTTTGTTTGGCGCTTTGCAAAAAAAAACAGCGATAGCATATCATTGAAAATCACGTAGAGTAAAGACTATTTTTGATACACGCTGTAAATGAAGATTTGATAGTGTGAAAGTTGTTTATTATAAAATAGCAGCAGTGTACGTTACATTGGTGGAAGCGGCTTAAAATGCCGACAGTCCTAATGCATGCACCGAAGCAAATAGACTAGCAAAATTAAAAAAAATATACATTTTTGGTTACTTAAGCCATTTGAAAAGATTTCGTCATATCAATATAGTCAGTAAATTGATGAAGTTAAAAAACATGCAATTTGACATTGCACAATATAACTTTACTGTTTCATATAAATATACATTTCTAAAACAATACATTTTTGTAAATAATTTTAAACATTAAAAAAAGTTGCGTTTTGCTAATTAAAATTTGCAAAACGCAACAACATAAAAAACAGTTTACATATTTTTGTAATAAGGTAGATTAGGGTAATATGAGCACGTAGGTAATATGAGCATACTTAAAGATTTCTTAGATGTAAAAGTTGCATAGTAATTTTTGAATCGACTTTATGTGGTGATAACAGAAATCATTATGATTAGTGTAAATTTATCTGCAGTAATTAGCGACTATCATCTAATTAAAATGTTAAATTTTTTGCTTTATAAAAATAATTGCATCACACATTAATAAATCTGTGGCGCGAGATTTTGGTGCTAAAATAATGAAATTAATTTTTTTCTAAAGAAAAATAAGTTAGCTAAAAGTCCAATCTATGTTTGAAAAACAATGCATTGTTTGAAAAACATTGCATAGAAACATTTAGTTTTGACTTTATTTAAAGAAGCCATTTTGTGTAATATGAGCATTTTCAAATTACCCAGTGTTTTTTATTAAAATTATCTAGTTTAAAGTCCTAAAATAAGAGTGATTTTAATTGCTTTTTAAATAAAACCAAAACATAGTAAAAAATTATCATATATTAACAATACTAAATATTTTTCTGTAATTTAAATTTTGAAAAATTTGGAATTTTTATCGTTCAAAGGTTTGAGGTAATAAAATTGAAAAAACAACGAACTAATTGTTTTTTTATTTTTTTTATTTCGGAAAACATAGTAGTATTGTTTCAACAAAAAATGACTTAAAATTTGATCTTTTAATGATAAGTTTTGTTAATAACGAATCATTATGTTCCAAAAATTAGTTGTATTTTTTTACTAAACTTATGTTATTTTTATGAGCTAATTTAAAGTGCTCATATTACCAAGTGGTCTGGGTAATATGAACACTTTTACTACTTTTTTAAAATCTCTGTGTATTTAAGAAAAAATTTCGGGTGACCAATTATCTAAGTGGATCATGACTTGGGAACCCTAAAAGTTGTTTATTCTCAAAATTTGGATCCAGCATAATTATTCTTGAAAATATTCCAATTTTTGCTTAATGTGCTCGTATTACCCTAATCTACCCTAATTTCTGAAAATAAATCTACAAAAATTATTCTCTTGACAATTAAAGTTCTAAGATTTTTCTTAAAATTTTAATAAAGTTTTTTGACTATAACCAAATTTTAAAACATCATGTTACCACGTTGTTACTATGTATATACTGTGCTGTTACCTTGATGTTACAGTTTTCTTACCACGTTGTTTTTGTTTGCATTTATTTTTAAATATACTTTATATTGGTTTTGAGTAAAACGATAATAAAAGTAAATATTTAGCTTTTTAATAACCAATAGTTTTAAAATTCAGTTTAAAATTTCTAGGAACTGTTTAATTCGTTGAATTAACAGACTTACGAGAGTAATTCTTTTCTGTGATTAGTAAGAAATTACTACTAACTTTCTTTTTTACTTTTCTTTACAAAAAACTGCTCTCTCATTTTGACAAAAAATAAAACAAGTTGCAACAATATTCGAATTGTTTGAAAAGCTGTCAAGGAGACAAGGATGTCGGAGGTAATTTTTCTAGTTAAATTTCTTGGCAAAAACATTTTTTTCTGAAAAATAATAATTATTTTACATCAGAATAAATACCTTCCTGGTTACGATTACATTAACATTTCAAATTAATAATTGTTTACTTTATTTACATTTTTATGCTGCTGGATAATTTATACAGTAATATCTATTTTTTAGTAAATAAACAATTTTTAAATAATATTTGTTATTTAAAAGAATCTCACTTATCAAAAAGAATGGTACTACATAAATTGCATATATATGCATTTTGTGTAGTACAATATATATATATATATATATATATATATATATATATATATATATATATATATATATATATATATATATATATATATATATATATATATATATATATATATATATATGTATATATATATATATATATATATATATATATATATATATATATATATATATATATATATATATATATATATATATATATATATATATATATATATATATATATATATATATATATATAAAATAAAGGTTAATAAAGTTTTAAATTAACTCATTAAAATAAAATAATACATACAAATAAGAATATATTTACAATACATAACTAAAAGAAAAAAGTAATATTTTTAATTTAAATAAAACAGAAATATAAGTAAATAAACGAGATTTTTAAGATACATGAAAATAAATATTTGTTAGCATTTAAAGTTATGCTTCATAAAACGGAACACATGCATTTTGTTTGTAAACGAAAAACATAAATTTAAAAAACGAAACCAACGAGTTAATGTAATCTGTTGAGTTCCGAATTGCAATTATGAAAACAAAATACATATTAATTGAACTGAATCAGTGACCGATCCAGGATTTTTTAGTGTTTGAGATAACTTCCAGACATGGAGCAAACTCCAAACATTTGTATGTTTATACTTATGTCCATAATGATGCTTTACAAAAAATTGCAATGATTGGAGGCTGGAGTCGAAAAAGCCCTTTCACTTTATCTACCCCTTCCCCACCCCAAACATGAGAGGCAACAAGTTGATAATTTTTTTAAAACTATTTTCAATGAGATTTATATTTATCAATAAATTTTAAGTTTCATAGTGTTATCTTTCAACTATCAAAAATTATGACCATATAAAGTTTAAACCCCCCTCAATTTGTAGGGGTTTACAAATTTAATATGTTCATAATTTTTGATGTCTATAAACTTTGAACACAGCGATTATACGAATAAAGTAAAATAGGCAGAATTAAGAACTATAGTGAGCGATATTGCCTATAATAAACTGATAATGTGTGAATGAAAAAATAGAAGTTCTTTTAATTTTCAAACTTCAGTGAGTACAATAGGTACAACAAGCATCTTGTGAAGACTTAATGATACCTCTTTCCAGTGAAAAGTGTTTTGAGGTTCAAGCGCAAAAAGACCATCGCTATCATTCAATGTCTTTTGATAGCAAAAGGGGTTGTACCCAATCTACGTAAGCAAACAAAAAGTCTTTTCAGTTGATTAGCTGTTACTAGTAGAAAGCAATCCAGAAAAGGTGCCTTTTGCCTCAATAAAAAACTTAGCTTAGATATGTTAAAAAAGATTTGACAGATGACAAGGTGACACTGGCATAGCTGTTTACTCATATGAGTACGTACACAACGTATGAGTACTTACACAGCTATGGCAATAATTGTAACCCTTGATTGTAAGAATTTTAACTTTTGGCTGTATTTTTGGCCTAACTGATGTTACGCTGTTAGCAGATATCTCTCAAGTAATTTTGTGGGAAACTCACCTGAAAAATAAAAAAGTTTACCGCACCTGACATTAAAATTTACCTTCTTTTCATGAAAAGGCTACGAGGCAGCATCTCAATGATTTCAAACGCTTTGTTAAAGCTAACAATCCAGCATGCTAAAAAACTCTTAAAGTATTTTTTAATGATGTTCAGGGCTAAAATTTTTCTAAATATAACTTCTCTAAAAAGATTGTATTTACGAACTAAAGAATTTCTGCAATGAACAAAAACATGGGAAATTGAGTTTGAAGTCAACAGAAATGTTCCTTGCGAACCACTTTTATATATACTCGGTACTTTAAACATGTATAAATTCAGGTTACACCACGTATCTTTTTTTTATTTTTTTTTGTGGTTTATGAGTTGATGAGTTTACAACGGGAAAACCGCAGATGTCCAAAATGAGTGTCTTGTTTTCAAAAGAATATATATATATATATATATATATATATATATATATATATATATATATATATATATATATATATATATATATATATATATATATATATATATATATATATATATATATATATATATAAATATATATATATATATATATATATATATATATATATATATATATATATATATATATATATATATATATATATATATATATATATGTATATATATATATATATATATATATATATATATATATATATATATATATATATATATATATATATGTATATATATTTGAACAATTTAAAATGTATTCTACAAAAAGAGTGCTCAATGTTCTTAAAAGAACAGAGTAATTACAAATTAGTAGAAAATCACTTAGCAAAATTTTTTCTCATATATTTATATATATATATATATATATATATATATATATATATATATATATATATATATATATATATATATATATATATAAATATATATATATATATACATATATATATAATATATATATATATATATATATATATATATATATATATATATATATATATTTATATATATATATATATAGACATATATACTACCCTATATGTTTATTTATTATAATTATTACAATTAATTTATAGTTTATTATTTTCTATTTTTTTTATTCTATTAATTATTTTTGTTTTTATTATTAACTGATATTTTTGTACTCACTTTTGTTACAGTTAGATAGAGTTTTTTGAATAAGGCTCGGCAATAAGTTTATATGTGCCTTCCTCTTAAATGCAATGTAAACATTCTTTTTAGGACGAAATAGGAACACTTAAGTGTTCCCTCTAGGAACACTTAATGATGCAACCACTACATATTACCGGATTTCAATTGGTTCAGCCGCATCTTTTTTTTTTTTTTTTTTTTCAAATATCTTCACTTCCAACAAGGCTGCAAGCAACCACTAATTAGAGTTGGGACTTACAGGAAAAGAAAAGATGAAGACTGTTGAGCAAGATAACGTTGACAGACAACTTTAAAAAATGCTAATTATATGAATCAGGAAAACAAGATGAAGGAAGAGAATTTCAAAGAACTGATGTTCGAGGAAAAAAACTAGACGAATAAGAGTTTATGGAGCATTTAGGAACAGTTACAGAAAAAGAATAAGACTTAATTGAATGACGAGTAACACGAGAATGAATTTTAGTAGATGACACAAGAGACACTAGCTCTTTAGAGCATTGCCCATTATAGTATTTGTAGAAAATAGAAAGAGAAGCGACATTACGACGACGTGATAATGGTTGAAGGTTGGCTGCAAGAGCAGGTTCAACTATGTTTACAATGCCTTTTTTCACCTTGTCTAAAGGAGAAAGGTTATCATTAGAAGATCCGCCCTAGATATGGCAACAGTATTCCATACAAGGCCGGATTTGAGATTTATAGAGATAGAGAATAGAATCCGGAGTAAGAAAGTGTCGAGTTCCATAAAGAGATGCAGTTTTAGCAGATTTTAATTTTGCAATCGATTTAATATATGGTTTCAAAGAAAGATCGGAAGTAAGAGTTAATCCTAGAAGTTGAAGGGTAGATGATTCATCAAGTACATTACCATTTATTAATATAGGAAAGTCTAAATTATTGCGATAACGATTGGCTGAAAAAAATTGAGTTTTATCTGAATTAAAGTTCACCAGCCACTGTGAGTCCCATGCTGTAGCAGAAGTGAAAATCTTTTCAAGCTCAAATGCTTCCTTCAAGCAAACAGAGAGTGGTAGCTTCTTATCATGACAAGAATAAACGGTAGTATCATCTGCGAACAATGCCACCATAGATGTGAGAATATTTGGAAGATTGTTAATGTAAATTAAAAAGAGTATAGGGCCGTGCATTGAACCTTAAGTAACCCCTGAGGTTACAGAATAAGAAGAAGAGTGCTGTCCATCAAGGAAAACTTTTATACTTCAATTGGAAAGAAAGGATTCAATAATCTTAAAGTTGTTTCCAGATACATTGTAAAAAGAAAGCTTATGGAGAAGACCAACATGCCAAACTTTATCAAATGCTTAAGAAATGTCAAGAGCGATGGCCTTAATCTCCCCACCTTTATCTAATGCACGATAAAACCTATTAGTTATTACTGTTAGTAAATCAGCCATAGAACGAGAAAACCGACTTTTTGATCAGAAAGTTAGTTATTAGTTTCAAGATTAAGTGTTTGTTAATTAAAGATTCAAAAACCTGCTTATGATAGGAAGAAAACTAATGGGACGGTAGTTAGATGAATCAGATCACTCTCCAGAATATTTAAAAATAAGAATTTATAAAAATAGGGATAACAGATGCTGCTTTCCAGCAGGCTGGAAAACAAGATTCTGAAAAACACTTGTGAATAGTTTTGAAAGAATAGACGACAGTTCCGGAGAACAATTCTGCAAGAATATTACAGGTATGTACTATAACAGATATGTTGTCTGGATCACAAGCTGTAGAAGAGTTTAAGCGGGAAATCACTTTAGACACAGAAGCTGGAGTGATATGAATGTCAAGCAATGGATCAACCTGTTTGATGGCTATACCAGGTAGAACGTATCTAGTGAAATCAAGAGATGATATTGATGAAAAGTTCTTCGCAAATAACTCAGCTTTGTCTTTTGGTGAGGTGACAAAGTCTGAACCATACAAAAGAGGTGGAATTACAGATTTGCCCTTATTATTGATACTTTTAAAGATTCTCTAAAAGTCGCGAGAGCGACTAACCTGAGAATAGCGGGCTTTGACATTAGACAAAACCTTTTACAACAGTTTCTAGCAGTATTAAACAGACGTCTGTTTTCTGGAAAATTGTTTTGCTGATAAATATGAAAGTAATGGTTTTAATTGGCAATTGCAGCAGTACAATGTGAAGAAAACCATAGAGAAAAGTGAGGCTTGACCTGGAATCGAGGAAACAAAGGATTTCATGCCAGTCTGAATCCATGAAGTTATGTAAGAAGCACTTTTGTTAATTGGAAGACAAAAGATTTAACTTTTCTTCTATTGAGTCTTATCTTTGCCAGATATAAGACTCAAGAGAAGAAAAGTTACTATGAAGACCACGAATATTTAGATAGGTTTAGAGAACTTGGAGATAGCAATGATTTTTTGTGTTTTATATTTTTTGGTACTTTATTCATTTTTAAATTTGTTAAAAAATTTGACTCTAAGCATAAATAGTACTCAGTGCTCTGTTTAACAGCCCAATCAATTGTCTCATTACTATTAATAAACCCTGAGCTGTAACAAAGAGCTCCAAATGTGGCCTTGGCAATGCACACCAAAAGTGCAAACAGGGACACCATCCATACGCAACATGGCACTGTCAATACTTTGATATTTTTCAGCTGTTGATGAAACCAGTCTTTCTGAGAGCTACCACAGAGTTTGGGAAACCTGACTACCAGCCGGCCTCAGAACCCTAAAACGTTTTAAACTCATACTCTAACTGTACTCTCATTAGGAGATAATAGAATGAAATTTAAACAAAATAAAAAAAAAACAAAATAAGTTATAAAAACAGAGACACAAGCAAAACCCATGCATCGAGTCAAAAAGTTCCAGCATTTAACATCGTAAACTGGAAACAATGCATTAAAAATATATCTGCGCCAATCAAATAGATGAAAAAGAGGTGCGAGGCTGGTCAACAGATAGAATTGGTTTACCCCTCAAGTCTTTTTCTAGGAGGTCTTCTACAAGACTGTAGCCGGATGCATTTAATATCTGCCCAAAATAAGTATTTTATCGAGACAACATCTCTAACCTTTACTCAACCAAGAACTAAAAAGACGTATCCTAAAAGGCAGCAGGATATGAAGCAGATTGTACTGGGTTACATGTTACCGGTAATAAGATAACCTGACACAACATCTTAATAAAGGTCTGGCTGCACCACACAATGTAATGAACGATTGTAACCACAAGGGCAATTTAATGTACGCTTTTGATTTCTTGACGTACTTTCTAATGCATGTCTAATGGGAAGCTAGTATTATCAGCTGTCTGTGTTTTTTTTTATCTACTTTTTTTGTTTGTTTTTTACTTCAAGTGAAACTAATGGCAAAGTAGAAAAATTTAAAACAGAAATGCGATACTTAAATTGATCTCTTAATTTATTTGCCATCTCATCTATATTTTCAAATGGCTGATGTCTATTCAAAAAGACTGAGATTGGTGAACGAAGAGACTGTGAAATCCGAATCATTAGAAGTCTTTTATTCTAATTCTTAGAAATGCTTTTTGACTATATGCCTCATCATATAGTTATGCCACTTGCCAATTGGTACGTGTAAATATTTTATTTCCGCAAAGGTTTATCTTAGCATGTACCAAGTAATCCAAAGACTAATTTTTTCAGTCTGTGTAATATGTGAAATCAGCGATACTATGCGCACTTCTGCGCCAAGTGTTAAATAAATAGCTGCGAAATTTTCTGCATGCGTAACATGACCATAAAGTATTTGCAAAACCTTCATTTCACATCTAACTTTTTTTAATTTGACCATCTTGTATTGTTGAAACTCGTACTATTGCTAGTTTGTTAGTTGCTAATACATCTTGTAATGTTTCTAGCTTCAACCATACTGAAAATCTGTCAGAAAATTTGCTTTTCTGTCATGCATAATTTTGAAGACAAATAAAAGAGATTGCAAACGCTGTTTGTTAAATCCCAGTGCACGTGTAACGAATGTTGTTTTAGACTCACAAAATGAAACTTTTGGATTACTTTGCATAAATTCATAATGCCATTTTTAACCTACCATTGGAGTTTGTTTATTTAAATAAATCATTTTTATTAAAATATTTTTTATGACTAATTGCTAAGTTATTTGTAACGTTGTTAGCTTCATCAATTTCGAAAAACTAATCATCAAAACTCATCAGCATAATCATCAATCCAAACTACATTGGTTCTAATAACAAATAGTGATCACCTAACTCTGGTTCAATTTCTGTGTAAAATTTAAAACTTGACCATAAAACTTTCGATTTGCAACAGCTTTATTGTTTTTTTATTTAAATGTCTTGATAATGTTGTTACTGGAATAAAAAAAAGACTATAATATGTTCATTTTGCTTTGATTCAACAGTTTCTTAGAAGTTTTCAATATTCTGTTTTCCATAAGAAAATAAGAATGTATCTACTAAGAAAAAAAAGTATGTAAGTTAGTAAGTACTTCTGTCTTCTACATACTCCTATCGTTCTTAATTTTTTTATTTAAATTTTATTGATGAAACTTGTAAAACAAGAATATTGTAAAATATTTATAAATGACAAAATTAATAAAAATAATCATAATAAAAATAAAAATAACAATATTAATAATAATACTAATAATAATAACAATAATAACAAGTAATAATAACAATGATAATAATAATAATAATAAAAAAAGTGAAGACGCTAAATTAGATTAACTAAAAATACGTTTAGTTAACATTATATGATTAACTCATTTAAAAAGATTACACTGTGATCTTTATCCTTAAAGATTAGATTTTCTAAACTTTAGACTGAATCTTATAATTTTATTTTAATCACTCTGTTTTTTAAAGTATATTTATTAAATAAATATTGGTATTTTTTGTAAAAAAAAACAATTTGTTGAAAAGAAAAGGAATAAAAGATGCGACGTTTCTGATTAGGTTACGTTTCTAAACTAAATTTTTGCACTCCATTTCGGACCATAATGCAGGTGAACCGGTCCTACAGATTACTTTTTTTTAATGACAAAATGTCGTCGGTCATGTATCACAACCAACGCTGCGATAGTGTTTTCCCACGCGTACTCACTTTCAGCAAGAAATTGGACTATGTCGAGTGAACCCAAACAGACAACATCTCTAATTTTTTTTTTTTCATTAATGAAGGACAACTCATAAATGAAATTTAACAAACTTAAGATTGCAATGTTTAATGGCCTCAATTAAAAAACTTTCATACTACATGAGTTAGTTTAGTAAACATTTATGAACATCAAGAGAGCCGTTCACGTATGAATATCGATTTAGTGGCATTCAGTAGTTATGAATAGAAAAGATCCCATTTTCATTATTATCACCTATTTCCATGATGAAGATTTTCATGAGCAAACAAAATAGTTGCCAATGCCTTTATCAATCTTCATACATCATATGCGGATGTCAATCTTCATACAAATCAAAGTTTGTTCGACTTGATGCTCTTAAGGCAGTCTTCAAATAAACTACCAAACATGGATAGTTACAGTAAACACCCGTCTATGAACTATTAACTCAGCCTTTGTAGCTTCTGTACAGCTATGCAATCAAACTAAGCTTGCTAATGCAATCATTGAAAATTATTATTCTTCGTCTGTGTTTGCTCGAGGTATAGAAATCGAAAAGCTTAGAACTGCAATGTAAGCAAATCAAATTATTTCATGATTTCTCCCTCTTCGCTCCTTTGCTTTGATTTGATCTTTTAATTTCTCTGGCTGCTCTTGAGATTTATTATTTTATTTCCCTCCGAAAGAGGTACCGCAGCTAATTAGGCTTCGCTAAACGCTATTTCCCTCCGAAAGAGGTACCGCAGCTAATTAGGCTTCGCTAAACGCTATTTCCCTCCGAAAGAGGTACCGCAGCTAATTAGGCTTCGCTAAACGCTATTTCCCTCCGAAAGAGGTACCGCAGCTAATTAGGCTTCGCTAAACGCTATTTCCCTCCGAAAGAGGTACCGCAGCTAATTAGGCTTCGCTAAACACTATTTCCCTCCGAAAGAGGTACCGCAGCTAATTAGGTTTCGCTAAACGCTATTTCTCTCCGAAAGAGGTACCGCAGCTAATTAGTCTTCGCTAAACGCTATTGCAATAGCGGCAGCAGCCTTATTAAAGGCAAACCTAGCCATTTCTGATATACTCGTCATGCATCTATTAAATTCTTGTTTCGAGATGGTTACAATACTAGCCGGTATATACTTTTTATTCACAAGCATTTAAATTATAATAATAAGAGAATGGTAGGCAACATCTAGTCAGTCTCTTAATTATATTGGTGTAGTTAACATTCTTGTTAGTTCTTTTACTAAATAATAATAATTTCAACTTAATATTTGGTAAATACTAAATATTAAGTTAAAAAGTCAATACTAAGAGTTTGTTTTACTATCTGCTACTGAACATGCAACATATCAGAGGACGACTTAATGAATATCATACCAAGTAACCAACGCTCCGTTATAGCGTTACAAGTCAATTTAAAATCGTTTGATTTCTTCAAATTTTAATTGGCTTTTATGAATAAGGTGAAGCCCCATGCGTCCTACATGTTAGTTATAAGTGCGGTGGTAGGGGGGTGGGGGGTGAAAGGAGGCAGTATCATTGTAATTTTAACTATGCTAAACTTGATTGATTTGCAAAACAACAGTGGACAACTCAAAATATTTATGTAGGTTTATAAATTTACTTAGGTTAAAAATTTATGCATATTTTTATGAATCAGAGACATAATTAAATGAAGGCTGAAAGTATCAATCTTATTATATCTGAGTACCATGTAATAATATTTAAAATGCATTAATTTTTTATTTAAGGAAACAGCTCCGTTGATAGAAAAATTTGATGTTTTAAAACCAAACTTGAATAAAGTTGTTGTCGTTGTGGGATCAACAGGAACTGGGAAATCTACTATTATCAATATGTTATATAATGACTCTGTCTTGAAAGAAAACTTAAATCAACCATGTGAAATAGGAGCAACATCGAATTCGGTCACTAAAAAAATGTTGTGGTTATTTAACGCTCGAGATCTTACAATATACGCGGATACAGTTGGGCTCAGCGATCCTCATCAGTCAGACCTTCAAATTGCAACAGATCTAAAGAAATTTTTAGAAACATCAAAAGGTGGCGTCCACTGCATTATTATTGTTTTAAAATACGGTCGCATAACTCGTGAAGAACGAATAAATTTGGAAATAATTGAAAAACTGTTTGACAAAAGTTGGATAAACAATTGCATTGTTGTTGCAACATTCTTTGATGGAGAAGTTAACTCTGACACTCAGATGATTGATGACGATGCTCAAGAAAAAGCAATTATTGGATGGACTCATGATGACGTAGAAACATCATCATTATTTAACAAAGTCAAAGGAAAAGTAATTTTAACCGATAATTCATTGGGAAGGCACGAGCAAGCTAACAGGTATTGTATGAATTTTCATATAATATGCAAACAGTTCAAATAAACTTGCGTAATTCTTATCAACAAACTTTAGGTAAAGTTGAGAAAAAATAAAATGAGATTTAAAAATTGTAATAGCTAAATATTTTAAACTAATAATATATGTCCTCTTTGATAAAAATATCTTTAAAAAACAATAACATATATGCCTATAAATGTTAATGTTTTAATTTATATAAGAGAAAATTAAAATAAAGCGAGAAGTGATTTTTATTTGATGAGATTTTATAATGGAGAAACCATTTTAGTCTCACTGAAACAAAAAATCTGTTGTAAGTGTATTATATAAATCAAGAGCCTTTTTTGATAATAAATGGCGCAAAATACTTGACTTCAGTCTTGCTCATTGTCTTTCCTACGCTATTAATATATGGGTCAAGACACTCAAAACTAAATTTCTAAAATTAAAAAGCTTACAAAACTACACATGCAAAGCAATTAATTAGTTAAAAAGATTAGAAAATTCTTTTCCGGTAATGAATTAATGAATGTCCTTGATCTATCAAAAATAAACTTATTTCAAAAAAATTTATGTACGAATATAAGAATATTTAGTTGCCAAATGTATTTTCTAATATTCTTACACTTTTCTCAAAAATCTAACTATAGCTCAAATACCAATCACAGCTATCGCTTCAAACACCAATCACAGCTATCGCTTCAAACACCAATCACAGCTATCGCTTCAAATACCAATCACAGCTATCGCTTCAAATACCAATCACAGCTATCGCTTGAGCTATAACTTTAGTTGGTAATTTTCCAATTAAAAATAAATATCAAAGTTTTAGAAAATCTGCACTACCTGTTTGAACCTTATCTTTTGCCTCTTTGTTTGTTACTGCTTTAAAGAACGTTTTTTCGGCAAGGATCTTTTTACTGGATTTAAAAATGTAAAGCTGATATTTTAAATATATATATATAAATATCAAATAATAATTGCAAATTATTATTTGATATTTTAAGTATGGGAATATATACAATTGTTTTTTAATATATTACAATTGTTTTTTTCAATTTATCGATATTTGAATTTTGTTTCCCGTCGCTAAGATGCCCCAAACGTTTTCGATAGGATTTAAATCAGGTTAGAGCGCTGGCCATTCTAATAATTGAATTTTCTTGCTGGTTAACCATGGGTTATTTGACTTTGCTTAAATTGGAGCATTATCTTGCTGGAAAATAAAATTGGTGTTAGGAAATTTTTGCGACAAACCATTCAAATGACCATTCAACAAATTTCTATATCTTTCAGCATTTAATTTAGTAGTAATAAAGACAATCAAAGTTTTTCCAAAATAACCAAATGGAACATAAATAATTACTCGTCCGCCTCCCATAGCCGTTCTTTTTGAAAAATTTTTCTCTTTTCTAATGTCATGGCAGAAGTAATAGAAAGCACCTGGACCATCAAGATTGATTTTTAATAATATATAATTTTTCCCCATTCTTTTTCAAATCATGGGGTCCTTGGCCCATTGAAGACAAATGCAAAATATTCCTAATTTTTTTAATTAAAAAAAAAATATATTTTTAGTTGTTATGCTGCATATTAATTTGTTATGTTTTATTGTGAGTTTTACTTTTAAAGTATGTAAAGTATATAATTTATGATATATTTAATGGTAATATATTTTAGATAAATATTTAATTTATAAGAGATGTTTTTATTGTAGGAGAAAATAAAGTTTAATTGAATAAATAGGTAAATAAAAAGTTTTCGATATCTGCTTTTAAAAGCCGGTAGTTTTCCGACAAGTTAATAGTGGCTAGTCATCGGCTAGCCAATTTTGATGGGTAGCCGATGGACCTCTCAAAATGCCTATATATAGGTCCACTGAAATTCCACCATAAAATGTTTGCTGACAAAATATGGCATATTATGCATGACAAAATTCCAAATGTAAAAAATATTGAATACTTTAAATTGTTTTTATGGTTTTTCAATAAAAGAAACTTTTATTGAAAAACCATAAAATACAATAGAAAGGTGCTTTTCTATTGTATTTTAGGATTCAACTTTATATAAAGATTAACCTAGATGAGATAATAGAAAAATTTAGGATCTGCCTAATACAGTTAATATATCGAGCCAGATGTAGAAATTTGATATGCACATTACTCGCACATAATTCGGTTTCAAAGTCTTTTCATTAAACTGTACACATCTAAGATTTTTGTGATAACATCATTATTTTATTTTCCTTTCACTCTAATTATTTTTAAAAACTTGATGTGGAAAATTGAAAACTAATAGATTTTTTTTTAGCTTTAAATCCATTTACACAATAATGCATGTAAACATCAATAAGTTTCAACCAATTAATATAAACATCAATAAGTTTCAACCAATTTCTTCATTTTGTTCTACAAACACGACCTTGCTTTTCACGGATTATTTTATGAAAAATTTTTGTATATACATTTAATAAAGAATTATTTTTTTCTTTCCTTGAAATTCATCTTATTTTGAATTTATTATGATAGAATGTTTTTATTTTATTTAGAAAGCTAAGACAACAGTGTTTAGACAAACTCAAGTTGTTTATTGAGAGTTGCACAGATCTAGTTGCTCCAGCACCAATAACTTGGCTAGACATTGTTCATCGTTTACTTGAGAAATGGTTTTCATTTTACCGAGTAAAAGCTGCAAATGATCGAATGAAAAAAATTATAGATCATCTTGCAAAAGAATATGAAAAAGACCAGCTACAAACAAACGATTGCCCTGTGTGTTTGGAAAATGTGCTTTATAAAGACATGGCTCAAACTAGATGTAACCACATTTTTCATTATAAATGTATTTTATTAGCAATTAACGAGCGTGGTGGACCATGTCCTATTTGTCGCAGCCCTGTTTTTCAAGTCTACTCAACTGCTGGTCTAATGTCATAATAAAACGCAGACATGAATAACGCATAAACGTATAATTGTATTTACAAATATATATAATAAGTGGCAAATAAATATTTTTAATCTACCTTTTTTTTTATTACCATAAGTTTATAAATAAAAATATGACTTATAATTTTGTTTTAAATTGTTTTCATCATTCTAAGTATACTAGTCAACTGCAGTCACAGTGGCCAATTACATTTTGTATATTGCTGTTACATGTATTTATATTTATAAAATATACAAATATTCAGGTATGCAACTTTGCAGGTCAGGTTAGTCAGGGAAGCCACTGGTCATGAAAATCATGGAACTGTCACAAAATTTTATTTGGTCATGGAAAAAGTTATTGAATTTCTAAATTTTCATTGAAATTCATTTTAAAATGATCTTTTTTTTCTTCAACTAGTTTTTTTGACATTTTAAAAGAAAAGTACCAGCAACCCTAGAGTCTCCTTTCTAAAAGAAAATTACTTGCATGCCAAGTCTCACACTTTTATTATTTTTTTAAATTAATTTTTTATATTATCTTAGTGTAAGTTATTGATTATTATTGTATTGTAGTCAGTCAGGTCAGGTCACACTTTTCAAAAGATATTTTAAAATTTAGTATTTATTACAATAAGATATCAGTTATTAGTTAAACTAATAAAAGTACATTCCTAAATTTTGTTTGATTTTGTATCAGCCATTCAATTTAGTCACTCTGGTAATACGTAATCAAGTACAATCTACTTCATATGATGCAGTAAATACTATTTAGCCGTGGTAAACATAACTTTCCTAGAAGAAGGAAAAAACCTGATATTAACCCACCAATGTTGTTCTGGATATTAGTAGGAGGAGCTCATAAACTTTGGATTGTAATCTTCCTATTCTGGAACTTTGGATTGTAATCTTCCTATTCTGGAACTTTGGATTGTAATCTTCCTATTACCACTATAAAAGTGCTCAACTTTAATCAGCAAAACAAGCTAATACCATTATAAGCACTCGATCGTAAAAAATGGCTTTTTAAAATAAAATATCTTATAATGATTATGGATAGGAATTTTGGGACCCCTTTAATAATGAATTTTTGAATAAATACTTTAACGTTGACAAGCGCATTGATAATTACGTCATCATTTTTATTTTTAATTTAAGAACTTTAATGAAAAAATATGCTAGTGAAGAAATATGATATCCAGAACATATGCACGAAATCAGGGTTTAAACCTTAAAATAATGGCTTAACAATAAAAGTGTATGCATACACTTTTATTGTTGAATAAATATTATTTTTGAATGACCACCTAAGAGACGATTTAACATAGCAAAGCCCCTGGTTACATGAAAATTTTGATTTTAAACATTCTAAGCTTTTTTTTTCCTGCATTTTTTTTTTTTTTTTTTTACATTTTAGTTACAAATGGTTGCTACTAATAGGAGCATTTGCATCAGTATTATCTGAAAATTCTAGGTTTAAATTTTTTATTAAGATATATTTCGAAGCTAGAAATGACAATTGGCAGTATTCAAACTAGATTTGAACAAGAAGGATATTTAATGTTTCAAAAGATAAAATCAGTACTAGTAAATGTTTCATCTGAAGGTAGTTTAATAAATAAAGAAGTTGTTGCTTCTTATGCTACAGATATGAATGTTTTAATTACAATGCACGAATCCAAAACTGAACCATTAGACAAAAAGTCAATCTACAAAAAAAAGACACTCTTTAAAAAAAAAAAAAAACAGTCTACAAAAAGTCATAATTTTGTCTGGTAAGATATGAATGAATTTCCGCTAAACTTTATTGTTATTTATTAATAATTACAACGGCAGTCTATCTCAAAATGACTAAGATATGCACTACAATGCGTATTTGTAAGTTAATATATCACATAAATTTTTTTGTTTTACAGAGAAGCAAATGAAGTTGAAAAGGAATTATTATCAGAAATCACGAAGTTGAAATCAAGCACAGTTAAACTGGTGTATGCTGTTGAATACACACACACAAAACCGTGAAATCTTGAAAAACTGCAATAACGTTTTATGAAAGTCTTATACTATATAAAACTTAAAGTTTGTAAAAATAGCCAAAATTTGATTTCCTCTTCTGATCTATACTTTAATTTCCGAACCACGTACGCATTTGAAAATTTTATATTTTAAGACCGAATTTTACTTCATATCATATAAAACATTATTGTTAAAACTGGTAAGTAAAATAGTAACATGTAAAAATTGGTAAGTAATATAGTATTATGTGAAAATTGGTAAGTAAAATCGTAGCATGTTAAAATGGTAGCTGTTAAATAATCATAATAATATTATCTCGGAGAAAACTTTAGAAAAACAACTAAAAAAGTTTGCTAATATTACTTCAGCTAATACGAAAATTTCGAACGTTTCGATAAACTTTTAATAGAACGTTTCGATAAACTTTTAATAGAACGTTTCGATAAACTTGAAATTGATACATGAAATTGATGAACATAACAAAAACAAATAATATCGCAAACGATTTGAACTCTAGTTGTCAAAATATAAACAAAATAGTTGTAATATTTTAGAAACCAAATTCAATGAAATAAAAAAATTGATTTTAGCACAAGATAAAATAATTTCGACAAAGTTTGAAATAACAAATTAAAAAACAAAAAAAATTTAACAACGACAAAGAGTTAAAAGTGAAATATCAATAATAAGAAACAAACTAAAAGAGATGGAAGATCATTTGCGTAGGAATAAATTAGGAATAGATAGAATAAAAATAAATGCAAATGAAACATAAGCTTTAATCTGAAAATAAGGTGCATAAATTCTTAGAGGAATGCCTAGAAGTTAAAAACACAAAAACCGAAAAAGCACATCGACTGGGATCAAGAGACGGCAAAAAACATAGAAGAATAGTTCTGAAGCTATTAAATTATAAGGAGAAAGCTGAAATACTCAAAAAATTATTTAAACTTAAAATGAAAAACATCTTTATAAATGAAGAATTTAGTACCGAAACTACAGAAATATAGAATAGGTTTAAGAGAGAGCATAAAAAGGAACGTGAGTCTGGAAAATTCGCAGTATTTCGACAAACATTCACAATTGGGGGCTTTGAACACTATATAAATGGAGCTTAAAATGGAATTTAAAATGGAACTTAATTTAGTAATTAAACTTTGTGATGAAATTGTCGCTATTTGTGATAATGACTCAGTCAGCAAATACTTCATTTAAAATCATTAGAAAATAGAAATAAATACTTCAATAGAAAGCAAATACTATTCAATTTCAAATTTAGTACAGATATAAAAAAAAACTGATTTGATCATTTTCCAACATTCCTTATTAAAACAGCATAATAGCTAATAATACTCTCTCAAAAATATAATATTTAAACGACGGATCAATGAAAACTCCACATGAAAAGTTCGCAACTTTTTAATCAAATGCGTTGATTAGGAAGTGGTTCTTTAACCTCACGATGCTAACAAGGCTTGTTAACTTTTCTATCGCAGTTTTGTAAACAATACAATTAAGCATTTCCTGTAAAAAAGTTTTATCTCAATTCAAAATCACTTTTATATAAAAGTGATTTTGAATTGAGATAAAACTTTTTTAGAGGAAATGCTTAATTTTTTTTTTTTTTTAATTAAAAAACGATTTTAGTAGTTCTTTCGTTATTAATGGAGATATCTCCATTAATAATAATGGAGATATCTCCATTAATAACATAATTAATGGAGATATCTCCATTAATAACAAAAGAACTACTAAAATCGTCGAGGAAAAAACAGAAGCTTTATGAAAAATTTTTGAAAATTAAAACTTTTTTTTTTTATGTTGATTTTAGGTGCCCCAAGAAGTCCTTACGGTCTTATCACAGGGCACCACGGAAGAGCATTTAATAGGAAGTTCAAGCCTCCTTCCCAACCGATGTCGCAAAACTTGCCCAGAGGCGGGGTTTAAACCACGGATCTTAAGTGTGCTACCACTGCGCCACGGCTGCTTGTTCAAATGAAATTAATAATAATAATAATAATAAAAATTAATAGTAATAATAATAATAATAATAATAACTTATTCAAATGAAATTAGACATAATAATAATAATAACTATTTATAGCTGAAATTTAACAAAATAACAATCGAAATGATTTAAATGTTCATAATGTTAAACGAGAGCGTGTAATAAGCACGCTCTATATCAGCCTTTATATTCGCTTTCAATATATTCGTCTAATCGTTTTTCAAATGTTTTCACTGATGTAGATAGCACGATAGACGGTGGAAGACTATTCCATACAGTGGATATTTTATTAAGAATAAAATTCTCTCTTAATGGACATCATTCCTTTATTAGTTCTTTTTTGAATTAAATGGGATTTCTTTTGTATGCAGATTATTCCGTAAACTCATCAGGTTTTACTATCATTTTTAATGTAGATATACATCATTTAACTTGTATGAAACTATGGACAATATTGAAGAACTCTATTAAATTTCCTCTTAACCATCGAGTTTCTAGCGTTGTAATATTAAACCTTTTTAATTGTGATTCATAACTTAAATGTGAGAAGCTTAATGTTCAAGTAGCTCTTCTTTGAACTTTTTCAAGAGCAGCTTTATCGTATTTTTTTGATGGATTCCAGATTGGTGCTGCATATTTGAGAAGCGGTAGAACAAAGGCTTTATACAATATTTCAGCAATTGAGGTGGTGTAGAATTCAAATGTGTGTTTAATTAAAAAGATATGTTGGCTATATTTTCCATCAGCAGATGTCATAACGCCTAGATCTTTTTCTGAATCGGAGCTTTCTATTTGAGTTCGTTTTTTTTTTATCAAAGTCAAAGATAGTATAACTTCTTTTTTGATTATACTTACCAAAATGCATTTTTTTACATTTACTTATATTAAGTTTCTAAGAACTTCAATTTCGTCCAGCTCAACAAGAGTTTTACTATCGTTGGCTCATTATTTATATTATTTGTGAAGACTGATTAAAAGTGAATGTTAAATATATTAGCTATTATTGTTTTGTTGGTGATTAAATTGCTGTGTTTGTCTTGTATTGAATTAGCACAGTTTTTAGATTCGTTTTT